GAAGAGCGAACGGAAATTGTTGTTGTAAATCGAGAGTGAAAATGAGAAAGAAAAAAAGGGGGGGGATAGTTGAAGTGGGATAGGATTGGAACGTGAGGACGTGATACACTTGCAGTGATGAGATTTTGGTGTCGTGAAAGGGGGAGGGTGTACAGTTTCTGGATGGAAATCGTCGGAATAATCGATGTCTGAGTGTGTGACCTACGATTGTTTCTCGTGAGTAAGAACAGAAAAAATATAAAAACAAAAAAAATGATGAAAGAAAGAAAATAACGAACGGATTTTTAGAATGGATTTTGTGCGAAATGAAGTTTCATTCGGTTTTCTCGTAGGCGGTCGCTTGTGCGAGAGAGGATCACCTACGTCTTTCGTCGTGATGACGAAGCAAAAAAATAAATAAATAAATAAATAAAATAGCGTTATCATGGTACGAAGAAAATTCTGACGGGACAGAAAGAAAGAGAGAGTGAAAGAGAGAGAGAGAGACGCGAAAAATATACGAAAACGAAAAAAAAAAAAAGAAGTTACGAAATCTGTACGACAGTTTGTGCCACTCTATGTCGTGTACATAAAGGAACGGAATGCTTAGGGAGAGAATGGTGTGTGCTTGTGTGCGAGACGCGCGTGTATGTATCAGGCGAAGTGTGGTAGGGAAAAAAGAGAAAGATTTACATACAAATATGTGATGTGTATATACATACATATATATATACATATATATATATAGATATATACATATGGAAATATTAAAATATATTTGTAAATTCTGTTATCTGAATGCATTATAAATATTTTAACCTCCTGTAATGAAATATTTAATAAAAAACGTTACCAACCAAATCGTTCGCAATTACCGAGGGGGCACGTTTAACGCTAGGTTTACAGAACGCGTTATTTTGATGCATTTCGAATGCCTTCTAATTTCGAGATTATCTATGTTGTATATCTATTGCTATGGATACGCGTCGATTTGACGCGATCGTAAATTTAATATTAAATAAAATAAGCTTTTTTTTTTTAAAGGAAATGTACGGTTTCGTTGACGCGTGTCCGTGGAGATAGGTATAGAAGAAATGTCAGTAAATCTAGTGTTAATGTTTGAATTACGTTTAATTAGATTAAAAGTACATGTTTCCTTAAAGCAATAGCAAGCAAAATATGTAAATTAACGTGCTTCCTATATAAAGATTGAAAGACTTTTATAATACTTTACTAATTGAAAATTCCAATTGTGTTCTAGATATGCGATGAATTAATGTAACTTCGGCATCTGTTTATTTGTATAATATGTAAATTTGCATTGGTAAAATGAATATTGAAATATAATATTTTGTTTCTCGAAAGATATATATTCAGTGGGAATTCGATATGTTGTTATTCAGGGGTTGTATTTAGTATTTGTGTGTTAAGGGGAGATGAATAAAAGGGTTGAAACTTATGAGCAGACGTTTGATGCATCTACCGAATCATTCGATAGCCGACTTTATCAAACTATGTATTATAGTACAAACAAATTTATATTACAATTAAGTGTTTATTGTTTATCGTTATTAAGGTTTGAAATGTTGGAAAATTCTAGTTCACAGGAATGTCTTATTGTAAAATTTTCCGTACCATGGAATTTCTTATGTGATATCAAAATTTATTTCTAATTATCCACAAGAAAATTAATCATGATATTATTATTCAATTTTTTAGAGAGAGACAGAGATGGAGAGAGATTCACAGATAGAAAATTGTTATGTACAAATATTAGGAATAAACCTTTTTAGGAGTTGAAAATTCTATTAATTTTTAATATTAAAAGTAAAGTGAATAAAACAAATTTGATTATTTCGTTTCATATAACTCAGATTTTAAAGTCTCACATTTCGAATGTCTCAATGCTTTTAGTTGACTGTTTACCAAATTTTTCACCGACACTCTGTGTTTACATAATTTGTGGTGGTGTATTGTGTAAATCAATTCGATAACCAATTGAAATTCCAATTTCATCTCTTATGTAATAATAGAATATTCGTTAAATTTTTCACCAGTGTAATAATTATGAAATTTCGTTAATAAGTATTACCGAATCGAGTATTGTGAGTCCAATCGATCCACAAGACTTCCGTTATGTAAGAGTGTGCATGTACGGCACAATGTAAGCAACACAGATACCGCATTATGGTTCCATATGGAAAACATTCTTACTGTCGAGCTAAGGGCATCTTATACAAGAATTCGTCGCGCAAAAACATGCTATTGAAATTTAAAAAAATGCAGAAGTAGCTTTCGATAAACATTCTTAGCAAAACATTAATTTTTTTTTTTCATAAGGAAATATGTAAATTTAATGTAATCCGTGCTTCGAATTTTGTTTTTATAACGAGTAATGATTTAGCTACTAACGCAATTTGTTTCAGCCGTAATGGCACTTAATGGATATACGTTATCGGCATTTGTACGGATGTGGTGTGGTATTCGAGGAAATTCGTCAAGTTATAGTCACACGGGATCCTGATTACATCGTGGTACTCAAGATGATGCTAATTACACGGCTGAAATGCAATACGGCGTGTTCGCATTGTGTTCCTAATAGTTTTTCTTTTATATTAACGTAAAGACCATGCGGAAAGGTAACTAAATTTTTCTTATTCATCGGTTACGAAATACAAAATTAATACGATTATTATTACCGTACATCCTTAAACTATTAGTTTCAGATCATATTAGGTGTATCCTTGGTTCGTGATAGGAAATGGAACATTAATCGCTGCAATTGAAGTGGAACAAACGATCGAACTATATACCATTAGGGTCTGGAACCGTTCCATACTTCACCGAAGTGAAACTAATAACGTGGTTGCTATTTTTTTTTTTTTTTTAGACAACATGCTGTGTGTTGCTTTTTTACAAATATTTGTAAGTGACCGAAACGAGCAATTACCACTTAGGAAGAAAATAATCAAGTTTATTGTGCAATAGATATTTCGACTTCAAAATAATAGGATACAACATATACTGGGTGTCCCACCAAACGTGAACACCTTAAATGTCTCACCTGCTTTTGATTTGCAGAGAATTTATTTTAACGAATGCTTAAAGTGATGTCTCTATCGCAGTTATTTTCTTATGTAAGTCTACTCTTTTATATTTGGGGATTTTTCGTACTTAAGTTGACACGAAGATCATATTATCTAGATCATTGGATTGGTCTTGGCTAAACTATTATTTGATGATGATAAAAACATGTAGTCCCATTTAAAAAAAAACATCGATGACCTTGAAATTTAGAAAAATATGACCTTTAGAAAACTTTCTGCTGATCGTAGTATTTGCGGTATTTGCTTCGTTCTAACCAAATAATACTTTCGTCTCACACTTTTTTGTATCTTCAAAAAACAAGCGAGATACTGAAGGTGCTCACGATATGTGGGACACCCTGTATACACATGTCTATTTCATTCTCATAATTTCGAAATAACGATTCAAGGCTCTGGTCGTTAAGGGTTGAACATTGAAATTTCAGCATCCTCAGATGATATCGATTCCGCACGCGAACGGAAGCTTATGTCGTACCGAATACATAATGTACGTAAGAAAAAAAGACCTAATTGAACACGTGCCCAAGAGCCGAACATACATATGTACCAGGCCGCCTTGCGTTGCGAGCCTAATCAGAAGGCAAGATATCGCAGCTTCTCTATTTTCGAATTCCCAAGCGTGCGATAACACCAGAATTATTCGGCAGAAGTTCCGAAACATCCTTCTGCTATTATGCCGCACCGGCGACTACATTATCGACAAACTTCAGGCATCAAATATTCCGAAACCCGTAAGCCTAACTTCAGTACGAACACAGATGGGCAAACTCATTATCTAGATACAAAGTTTCGGATAACGAATAAAAGATAAAAGAAGTATTTCGTCAGTTTTAATCGTTTAAACGTGGAAATTTCCATTTTTATAATAAAATAATACTTCATTTCTCGAACAATTATTTAATCACATTAACTGTTTAAAGCTCAGAACGACACCCTTAGATACTGCTGCTTATCACTGTCTATCATTCGATTAAGATTCTGCCCAACTCTGAGTACGAAGCATCTCGCGCGAATTCAAAGCTTGTCCCCTCACTTTAAACAGTACATACTCGACACTCTCCTATAGGACCCAAACACACATAAAAACACGTACACACAACGGTACATCGTGAACAGCCGTGTATCGCGTCGCGATAACGGCTACACACAGGAAGACGGAAGTCGCCAGAAAATCTCTCGGTTCATTCTCTCTCTGGATTCCGTGACGGTTGGACGCGTTTCGAAAAGCCACGACCAAAAAAAAAAAATACGAAACTCATTCCATATCACACCTCTCCAACTCCATTCATTCTTTTTGCGGTCCTTTCCGCGGGTTCATCCGTGCCGCGCGCAGCGCCCTTCCGTCAAGGTTCGCCGCGAGGCAGGCCAAAGGGTATCGCGAAACAAGGGGGGGGGGTTCACTCGTAGAGAGAATCGTTCCTCTCCCCGTGTGTGTGTCCGTTGTCGTCTGTCCTGTCGTGTGCGGTTGTGAGTTAAGCACCCACCGCCGCGAGGAGTCGCCGTTTTCACGCAGCGGGGTCGATCGAATCCGCGAGAGAACGCGCATTGTCGTACAACGAGGAGAAGTGAACTGGGTGGTGGGTTGGGGAGGGGGAACGGAGGAGATAAGAGCAGGCCACAACGAGACGGAGCGAGAGGGTTCGTCGAGCGAGCCGGTTGTACCGTTGACGGTGGCGCCGCCTGGTTCGGATAAGCCTGACGAAACGGGCCGTTAACGGGGTGGGGGTTGTTAGTGTGTTCCATGAGGGGTGCTCCACCACGACGCGGCTGCGCGATTGCGTCGCGGCGGATGCGGTAGGGTGGCAAAACGGTGGTGATTCCGGAACGCGCGTCGGCACTGGTCGAACCGTACATGCGTGCGAGAGAGAGAGAGACAGAGAGAAGAAGCTAGACAGACCGTGCGTGCGAGAGAGAAAGAACGAACGAGTTGACACAGGAGGGAGGGAGGCGGAACGGGAGAAGGAGGGGACGGCCTGAAAAGCTCGGGGCCAGGCTGGCTTCGATCGCTCAATATTCATCCCTCCGCCGGACGAGTGCGCCCGAGAACAGCAACGGCTCCAGACGAGGGCACCGTATCACAACCCTTCCTTCCTTCTTTCGCGTCGTCCTCGGCCCGCGCCACTGTTCCTTCGGGAGACCAGCGAGATCGCACGGAGGCGGGAGAGGTGGCGCATTAGGAGTTCGAGTAAAGGGGATCCCGGGACTAGCCGACGACGGTTTTGCTCGCGGTGGTATCATCACGCGGGGGGACTAGAGAGGAGAGATAGAGAGTTTGCTGGTGCCGTGTAACGGCGGACAGAAAACATACTAATCATATTGCAGCTAATTCGACGAGTATAAGAACAACGGGAACCCGGAATAATGGAGGGCAAGAAAGTCGAGCAGTATTACAGTCCGCCGCCGAAGCTGGGCAAATGGGAGGGCTTCAGGATCTTTCTGTGGAACTCCGAGACGGGACAGTTCCTCGGGCGTACAGGCGCTAGTTGGGGTAAGTGGTGTTCTTCGTATTTTTTAACGTACAGTGAAATCGAATTATGTCCCTGTGGACGTTCCGTGCCCCCTCCACCCCCTCGGTTTCCCATTGGGTTCGTTCGTTCAGGATACAGAGTCCTGTTCAAATCTTTTTGGGAGTTTCCTTTGGGATGGGTAGCCAATTGTAAAGAGCACGAAGGATCGATTCGGGGACATCTTCGTAGATTGGGTAAAGGATCGTTGGATGATATATAGGTTCGTAGCTTCACGAGAGGTTTCTTTTTTTTTTTTTTTTTTTTTTAATAGGCATCGCGAACAATTATCAGGGTGGCATAATTGGTGGCAGCCGAGGTTCACTCGATTGACATTTCATCGTGACGCTCCCGTTCCTGACGTAAAGTGTCGCAATGTACGCGCGCACTGCAGCTCACCAGCGATGCCATATACATGTAAAGATCTTCCGTGCTGCATTCTAATACGCGAAGGCGTTCTGGGTTCCCGGTTAAATCGATTTCTCTCGTCTAACGTCGATGCTACCGCTACGGGGGTGGGTGGGAGGGCTGTCGTTGGACTTGCATTTCTTCGCAGGTTATCGAGGCTGAACGTTTCGTGACTCGCAGGAAAATTCGTACGAAAAATCTCACGAAAATTCATACGAATTGCTCTGTAGTCACAATCGGTCTTTACGTTAAAACTCTGTCGGGCGAGTGGAAAAGGATACGGTCGAAGTGGAAGTGTCCCCGTTTTATCAGACGTTACGCGTATCCTGCCTCGATAATGTCTGCCTTCTCGATTCCACTCGTAGCATCCTTCTTCTGCCCGCGGGGAATTTCAAGGTTCCAAATTGGTCCCTTCGAAAGAATCACCGAGGGGCGGCAACCCTCGCGAATTCCATTGCCCTATTTTTCTCTGTTGGGGACGCTCGTGGAGGGGAATCGACCGAGGAATTGACCCTATCCTTTATGTCTGAATCCTTAATTTTTGCACGATTTGATTCACGTCTATGGTCGTATTTTCTAGTCGAACGTGGTGGCCTGAATGTAATCGTCTCGCGTTGGAACGATCCCGCTTGGGCTATCGAACGGAGGAGACTCGCTAGATGGCGGTGTAGTTTTAAAAATAGAGTTCAATTACTACAATTTCGAGGAGATATTCAACTTTGTCGAAGCAACTTTTTCAATTATAACGTTCTAGATGTCCGTGATTTCTGCTGTTTAGTGCGTGTGTGCCACTGTCCAGTGACGTTTACAAACGAATACCCCGCACTGCCCTCCTCCCCCCTCCCCTATCCTGTTATGTAACACAATTGCGGTAAGATTCGGCCGACAAGGATCTGTTATTGCGGGTACACTCGGTGAAATCAATTGCAGCCTGTACAGTGATCATAATTAACATTGCGCCTCTGATATTTTTCGAAGGATTTCACGGAGTTCGTATTCCTTGGAAGACAAATTGACAGAAACTGAGGGTTATCGGATGGGAACTGAATCTTCTGTAGTCGATCTTAGAGCAGAACGTCATGTTAACATCATTCAGCGACACTACAAACCGACGAGGCTCAATGGAATACAATGGAAAATCGCTCACTCCGAAGAATACAACCTAGTATTTCCGTTTATGCTTGAACAGTTCCAATTTCCACGTAGATGCAAGCACGATCTGTAATATGATTGTAGTACAGATCATCTGATTTTTTAAATTTTATTTGAAATTTCACGATCACTGCCTCTCTCATCCATTGGCTCCATTATGATCGAACTTTTGTTCATTCGTCCTTCAAGCTTCGAATCATCAGGGTCTTCGACTTCCTCTGTCAATTGAATTCACACCAAGTAGACACTCGCCACCGTCAACAATCCGTTCTGTGCCTTGCTTGAGCTGATCGTGAATTTCTTGTTCGGTTATCAGTGGTCCAAGCCTAAAAATACTCCTTCCTTTCGTCCGCCTAAATTCTTCCACGATCATACCGAGTAAACATCGTGAAAGAATTCGCTGTTATCGCTTATCGAAGCCGCGATTTCCTGACGTGTGTGCTTCGTAAACTGGTCGACGTCATTTCGTAAACTCGTCGACATCGCACGAGACGTTGGAACCCATTCGATCCGGAGTCGTCGCGTTAGCACGCTTAGAGACGGCTTATACACTCCGGTCGTGTCGGTTCGCATTCCTTGCACGTTCCGCCGCCGTTTTTACCCCTCTTTTTCCAACCCACCCCCTCCATCTGGGGGAGGGTTGATCGATTTCCGCCAAAATCAATAGAATCGGACGGTTCTTGCCGTTCCCGCAGAAATAGCCTGCTCCGATTTCAAGCGGTTCGACTGTTTGCGATTTGATTTCCCGAAACCTCATTATCTCATCGTTGTACACTGACGTGCAAACTTGGCTTTCGCTAGGGAAAAAAGTGGCGTTGGGAAAGGGCCTTAATTCTGCCATTTGAATTCGGAAGTTTTTGAAATTTATGTCTAATTAACATTCGATTTAACTATTAATTTTAGTACCTAGGATAAATTTACCAAGCGGTAGGAGACTTTCATTCTACGCCGCTTTTTCCCCTAGCGGAAGTGAACTTTGCTCGTGGGTGTACACTGACGTGCAAACTCGACTTTCGCTAGGGGAAAAAGTGGCGTGGGGAAAGGGCCTTCTACCATTTGGAAATTTTTGAAATTTATGATAAATTAACATGCGTTTTAACATTTATTTCAATACCTAAAATGAATTTACCTTACTTAAAAATATCCAGGAATATCGAAATCCCGTGTCACGGTACAGGAAAGCATGTTTTGAAAAAGGAATAGTACCATTTAGTAAAATACCCGATGCAAGGTTTCTTCAGGCGTAACACTTCCGGAATAAAATTGGGCGATATGTCTCCGTTAAATCGATTGTCAAAAGTTACTGTCACCGTCATCGAATACTAGTTTATTACCAGCATCTGTTCGAAGAACAGATCCCGTTTTAGACACGGAGATTCTTTCGGTAAACTGAAATATTCACCTTTTCTCTATTTATACGTTTATTGATCCGAAACAGGTAGGTGCACTGGTAGCATAAATAAAAGGGAATTCTCGGATTCTGGGGGTTTAAATAGACATTCTGGTGTTTCTATCTCTCTGAACGTTTAGCTTGAAACTCGACGAAAAGTAGCGCAGTTTCCAACGATAAATGTTCCTTTTCATTTTCGAGTGGCTGTTCGTACACGAAATAGGGTGAACCAGGTCTTGGATTTCCGGTTTGTTTCGACGAGGTTCAGAACAAGACAATTTTTCATTCGAGGTTGTGCTTTGCATTTGCGGTTGCTGTTTTTTTTTTTTTTTTTTTTTTTTTTTTTTTTTTTTTTTTTTTCGAGATATCGATCACACCGTACGCGAAACGCGACGGCGCCGCAAACTCAGAAGCCACCCGCGGTTCTTTGGTGAAGTAGGTCGTTGATATTGTTGCGTCTGCTGTCGATTCTTTGCACACAGGAAATGGCACCCCTTTGTGACGGCTGTCGTCGCCGTTTCTGCTACTTCCCCTCCACACCCCTGTCGAGAATTGGCCGATCGCGGGATCGTAGAAGGAGAAGTTTCACGCGAAGGTTTCGACGCCCTGGAACCGAAACCACGACGAGAAGTTTCGCGTTGGGGCCCGTTTTAAGGTCACCTAAATTCTATAGGTTCGCCTCATATGCATACGAATTGATTTTAAACGAGGACTGCCATTTCGCAAGAATGGCGAACCGTAAGCTTTGAAAACGTTAAGGGAAATCTTAAGGTCTCTCCGTTCGTGTTATTTTAATTATCGTTCATTTTTACGCGGCAATTTTACCCAGTATCGAAGTTAAAACACTGGAATTATCGAACCTGTCTGAATGGTGGACTTCATATTTTTATTGGTCTGTAATTTATCCACTGAAATCATAAGGGTGTACTTTTGTCGAGATTAATTTTAGCTTTTTAATTTATTACGCTGTATTGTATTGTGTGTATTAATATTAGGTCTACTGGAAAGTTCTCTCCGTCTTTGAATTAAAAGAAAATAATACATTTATTATGGAATCCACGAATTACCATCACGTTGGGTAGAAGTCATTAGTAACGATGGAAATTCTATTGTTCAGTAAATATTAATATATGTATTGAAAATGTATTATTTTCATTTAATTCAAAATCGGACTGAATTTTTCAGTAGATTTAATATATTAGGCAATTTAGTTTACTGGTGGATTTAGCGATAATTGTACTTTGTGTTCTGGAAGTTTATAGATTAACTTTCACGTGTGTCGTCCATCTAGTGACAGGTAAATATATGTTGCCTCGATTCGACTTCAACTGCGGCCCAGTTTCATTTAAGGATTAGTAATTTAAATTTCTTGGATAGTGTACAGCGGTTAATACGAGCACGGCACTTCACGTTCGTGTGGTTTTTTAGGTTAGAGATTTTCAGTGGTTTCCGAGAGATTTACAAAATGGAACGATTGTAATAATAATAGTGGTAATGGGTTTGTCGATTAATTAACAGTAACATTGATCAGTTACGGTTCCGTTTCAGTACCACCAGATAAAGGGCGTCGTGTGCACAAGACTCAACAGATTTCAAATCAAAGAGGAGTGCAATTACTGTAATTAGTAGACTGTGGGTGTATTTGCAAATTCCAATTTTCCCATAGATTAACTTTCAAAGGCAAGAATTAAAAATGAAGCGAACCTTTTTAGTAGAGTTAATTGAACATTTTACTTCGTTGCGTTTGAAATTTTACAAATTGAACAAAATTGCTGTCGCAGAAATATTGAATTCCACATTTATGTACAGAAAGCTGTACTTGAATTGTATTTAATCACAATCGATTACGACAGAGTGAGAATGTGATTTTCGACGAGTGATTCGTAAACAAAAGGTTACACTGTTTATTTTCATATACAAATATATGTATAGTTAAATAATCAGTGTACCTTTTATCATCTACCATGGACCCCTGCGGTTTCTCTCCAACATCTTCCGCCATGTTGACAGAAACGAAGTCCAAAATTTAAACTGTAAATTGTGTATTGCACTTGTACATATTGGTACACCTAAATGTAACATAAAATCGTGACAAAAAAAAATATTACTTTCTTAATAACAAAGCATTCACGGAACTGAAAAATCCGATTACAGAGGGGTTAATTCGGAGTTCGTTCAAGGGACGCAGAGCGAAAGGAAGGGGTATGGGAGAGGGTAAAATGGCCGATAGGCAATAGGAGGAAATCTGATATCGTACAAGTCTTCCTCCAACGAGGGTAAGACGTGTAGGGTTGGTTCAGACGAGGCGAGACGTAATCCAGCAGCGCGGATATTTGTCCAATGTAGCGAGCTCCCGCACACTGGGATCAATAACCTACTCTGCTTTTCTCGTACTAGGAGGATAGGTAGTAGCGCACGACACAGCCCCTACGCTCTTCTTTCCGGTCTCGTCTCACCTCCCCTTCACGTCAATCTGTGCTCGTTAGAATAGAAATATCGTGGACACGAGAAAAGGAAATTTATTACATCGAAAATTGTGCAATTATTCGTTTGTCAATTCTCTCCCCTGGTTCCCCAAATTTGTTTTAACTTAAAATAGAAATATCGTGGACACGAAAAAAGGAAATTCATTATATCGAACAATGTGCAATTCGTGCTGTTCAATTTCCCCTTTTGGTTCCCCTCATTTGTTTTTAGTTGGAATAAAAATATTTTGGAGAATGGAAAGAGAATTTATTCCATCGAAAAATATGCAATTCTTCTATTTTCTAATTTATTTTACGTTTGAAAATTGTATCGAATGATTGACTATTTTCTTAATTCGACTGTAATATAGTTTACGATATTTATTGAGAATTTCCACTTTTCTGATTCTTTATAGTTGGTCAAATTTGTTTGTTATAGAATGATTCAGGGTGTAATTTTAACCATAGTGATATCAAAATGGTAATGAATGGACTACGGAAGTTTTTGGAAATTCACGATTTTAGATAGTAATATTGTAAAAATCGAAAAATTTGATATATCTTTATGTCCTGTATTAAGAGCATTGGTATGTTAATAATAGTATCCAAATGATATTAAAATTTATTAAAGACTCTGTTTTACTACGTTTTGCAGATCAAGGGACGCCATGAATCCATAAACGTCCACGGTCTGGTGTACGGCGGTTGTATTACACTATCGTAAACAGTGATTCCGATAACGAATCGTAAATGCATGAACGAACGCATGCGTGTGTGATTCATTTTCATCTGTTTAACACCAACGAAGTATAAATAAGTTGTTCCTTCTGTTGAGTTAACAACTACGAAGAGAATATCCCAGTAGAGAAATGAAAAAAAAAGTGTGGACAATTCATTACAAATGGTTTATTTGTGTAATTACTTGATTACATTTGTCTGTTAAATTTAAAGATTCATCATCACAGGGAAAGTTTGTATACTGGTAAACGAGATTTTGTGTTTTAAAGTAGAGATTAAGCTCTTGGTGTCCCAAGACGATGAGTAGATTTGTTGCCAAATAGTGACAAAAATAGGTACTATGTAATCATTAAATATATAACAGGAGGACACGTGCCTCTAAAATAATTTTCTTAAAGCGCTGAAACTTTTAGATACCTTCCTCCGTGATCCACACTACACGTGTAATTTATTAAACAATTTTTAAACTGTTAGATTTTTGTGGGTGTATCATTTGATACATTTGATAACATGATTTTAACACGGTTCACTGCCACGTTTTTTTTTTTTTAAATGTCTCACGGCGCCAAACAATTTTTTTGCAGAAATATGCTGAGTACATCAATATATTAACCTCTTGAGGGATAGTGGCACGTATGTATACGTTTAGTTTTTCTTTCATTCAAGCATTATTTCGAAGGTGTAATTACATTTTGACTAGGAAATTCCTAAACAAAAAAGAATATTCCACCAATTGATTGTCGTTAATAATTATAAAGATATTTTAATTAAATACGACCGAAGAATAAACAAAAAGATATTCTTTCTGGTCTTAATAAATTCGTCCCTGAAGTGGTTAAATGTTTGACACCATTGAAACTCATTTTCGAAATTTGTTTACAGGCATCTTGATATTATTTCATATTTGTATAAAACTAAACCACTGCCCACGGAAACATATCTGTTGCACACTGTGGTGAACGTGTTAAAAAGACAATCATGTATCGGTATGTGTGGTCTTGAATACCAAGCAAAGCTTCCGACCGATTAATTAATATTTTAGTCGTAGAGCTTCGATACGTGTGTAACGTATGAAAATGCGGTGACAACAAATCGTGCGATTCCTCGAGGACGAATTGTTCGTTTATCACGATCAACGGAGATTCTTATAACAAACGCGTGGCATCGCTTACTCAATACCAATTCAGGCCAATTAGGCCTTGGATCATAATTGCTACGATGTTCTAGGCTTCGGTTGACACGCGTGCAACCCGCGAACGAATTGTTCCGATCGAAACAATTGTTTTGATATGAACATTGAGTGGAAAAATCGTGTTTACGATCCACAGGTTTTCTACGTGTTGCTGCTTGCTTCTTGTATATGAGGATTTACGACAACCAAGAGAGAGATGGTCGAAAACATTGTAAATTAATTTCTGTCTATTCAGCTTTCACTGTGTTACACCTTTTATTCTTATGTCCAATAACTTCTCAGGTGTATGGAAACGTAATGGTCGTTCGGTTTAAGTCGTTGTATCGTGGTTTTATTTCATTCTACCTATGGGGGAATTTCGATTCCTCCTAGAAGAATCGTGGAAGGTTATAGAATATCAGAGAAACTGGTTTAAATGACAGGAAGAATTAATAAAAAATGTTAATTTAGTCCTGAAAACTTTGTATTTAAAGCATTCTGTGTACGTATTTTCATGAGTAGAATATATTCTACTTTTCATTCTTACTTTCATTAAACTCTGTGTAAAAAGCTTTATTAAATTCGATTTCCAAATAATTTTCCGCAAATGTGTTGTGAATCTGATTTAATTCTGTTGAACATCGAAAAGGCACCAAGGATCAGAAACTACGAAACTTTCTTCGTGCTTACAGTGGAAATTTAATGTTCATTAATGTACGTTTCCTTCTGCTGTTTCATGTGGAACAATTACTAACATGCTCCTCATTGTTTGTTACAGCGAAGATTTTGTTATTCTACATTATTTTCTACGCCGTGCTCGCCGGTTTCTTCGGAGCTATGTTGACCGTTTTCTACCAAACGTTAGACCCGAACCAGCCGAAATGGCAGCTGGAGAATTCCTTGATCGGGAGCAACCCTGGCCTCGGGTTCAGGCCCATGCCCCCAGCGAGTAACGTCGAGAGCACCTTGATCTGGTACAAAGCCAGTGACGAGGGTAACTTCTTGCACTGGACGAGGGAGCTGGACAAGTTCCTCGAAGGTGATCGTCTTATCTTTATACTGATTCCAAGGAAATGTTCTGTCGTTTTTTTATTTTGTCAAGTTTCAAAGCTTCTTGTTAGTAAATAACAGTTTTGAGCTTAATATACGGAAAGCCCTCCTACCAATCAGAGCTCGGCTGGCAGACTCGCGCTCTGATTGGTTGGGGTTTTTCGGTAATATCTCGTTAACAAAGCTTCGGATAACATTTTTGCTAAGGAAAAACTTGTTTCAAATCACCTCTCGAGTCTCCCATTTCTGGGTCCTCCAACATTTTTGTTACACCCTGTATATGTATTTACATACGATAAATATATATATATATTTATCGAACGACATACCGATGCGTGTATTAGAATACTAATATTAATCTATAAGCGCGAAAACCTTCTTCGTTCTAACTAGTCAGTTACGTCAGTAGACTGTTAAATCTGGTCAAGGCGAAGCCAGTCTTCGGATCGGAGAGGACAGGTCGCGAAATATATATCGCTCTGACATTGAAAAAAGAAAAATATATATATTAAGTTATAACATTTACATACTTGTTAATCTGTATATATTTAAAATACAGATAGATTGAAAATTCCACTTTCATCAAGTTCTTTGAACGGTAAAAGTAAGATAAAGACGGTCCAAAGAATAAATCTAAAACATTACTTTGTGCGTTGTTTTTATCGAATAAATCTTTTCTCATCAGAGACGAAATATAGAGACTTCCTATAAAATACTATACGTGCTACGAGTAAATATATGTATACTGCTTTAACGAAATTAATTTTGGACTCTGTCCAGAGTACCAGAGGTCTCCCACCAACACAAATGGCGCCCAGAAGAGGATGGTTTGCGACTATGGGAAACCACCGGCGCCCGGCAAGGTCTGCGACGTGGACATGACGATGTGGGGACAGTGCACGAAGGAGAACAAATACGGTTACAATAAATCCGCTCCGTGCATTTTCCTGAAGCTGAACAAGGTATGCGACCTGGTGTCATTAAATAGTCAGCGCGTTTGAGAGTGTAGACATTTCGTTTTTTGGGTGTCTTGTTTGTAGGGATAAACCGAATATCGGTATTTATTTCGGTTTTTAGTAATATATCGATTTCGGTAATATTCGAATCTATCATGTATACTATAGAAAAACCGAAAAAATACCGGTATTTATTTCGGTTTTCGCTAATATAGTTTCGGTATAGTTTTGCTGGCATAATACTGGTATCAAAATCATACCGGTTTTAAGTTTCTCCGGTATTCCTTTTTATTTAAACAGTCTCCGATGACTTTAGGAAACTTTGGTAGACTAAGGTATTTTGTAGACAGTTAGTGATTGAACGTTGCTTGTTTTTCATCGTAGATTTTCGGCTGGAAGCCGGTCTACTACAACGACACGAAGAATCTGCCGTCGACCATGCCTGCTGACCTTCAGGAGCACATCAAGCAAGAGGAGAACGCGAACAGGCTGGACACCGTTTGGGTATCGTGCGCCGGTGAAAATCCAGCCGACGTCGAAAACATGGGGGCGATTCAATACATTCCTCGCCGAGGTTTTCCCGGCTTCTATTTCCCCTTCACAAACACCCCGGGATATCTCAGCCCTCTCGTAGCTGTTTTCTTCGAGAGACCTAAATGTACGTGAGATCTTTACCGCTGATGGTTATGCAAATATAGATCTTCATGTACTAATCACAGACGAATTGGAACCATATAGAAATTTGTCTAGCCTATTCGAGGTAAACTTGGTAACTGTATCGAGTTCTGGATACAGTGAATCATCGACGAGTGTTCGAAGGCGCCTGAGTGTTCAGACATCATTCCCACCACTGGGGGATCCCCCGTGAAACCAGTCAAGTGCCCAATGATGGGGATGACGATGGAACACTTAGGAGCCTTTGAACATTCATCGTTGATTTACTGTAGTCGTCTGTATCTGATCAGAATTCTCAAACCTTGCTTCTCTATGTTCTACCACAGACGAGGTATAGGAGTAAATATTTCATTCAATGTCTTTTTGCGACCTACTTTTCTGGAGGTACGTCACCCCATTTCCATTTTTGTGTCACTACCCACCGCAGATTCACCGTTCTCAAAACGCAGAGGTAAAATCATCGGCTGTTTAAGGTGTTGGTACTACAGTTTAGACCAATTCCCATAAGATGAAAGGTCTGTTCTTATACCTCGCCAGTGGTTCTGCAACATTCACCATATCTAAAGATACCCTAAACTTCTTGCTTCGACCTCTCCTAATGCAAACGGAACTGTGCAGATGGCGTGCTGATCAACATCGAGTGCAAGGCCTGGGCGCACAACATCATCCACGACAGATTCGAGAGGCGCGGCTCGGTGCACTTCGAGCTAATGGTGGACTAAACGGCGTCACCCGGGGCCCTCATCATTTTTGCCAGACCACTACCAACTGCGTCCAAGATATCTGTTGGAGGAGGAAGAAGAAGCAGAAGCAGAAGAAACAGGAGTAAATTTCTTTTTTAATCAATATCTCGCTGGCGGATTCGTGACCACTCCTTCTTTTCTCCGGTCCCTTCATCCGTCGACGGTACCGCCTCCCCCTTTAACCCCAAGCCGCGTTTCTTCTCGTCGTCGTATTTATCGTAGGATCCGTCACGCGTTCACAACACGCTCATTCTCGCTATTCTCATCGTCGTACCGTTGTTCTCTTTCATTCGCGATATCTCTCTCCCTCTCTCTCTCTCTCTCTATATATATATATATAACCGTCGTTTTAATTCATACTCGTGTCGCGCGCTTCTTACGAGACCATAACACCAGGGGGGGTTGGATCGTTCCGCGTAACGGTCGTGCGTTTCATTTCTTCTCTTTCACGGACACAACCACGCATACACACACTAAGGTCAGAGACACGCGAGAACACGAAGACATCATCGATCGACGCTTCCACGAGCAAATGATTTATCACGGGACGATAGATACGGACCAGTGTAAACAAACGAAAGAAAAAAAACATAAAAAAAAAAAAAGAAACGAAATTGGCTATTATACAAGCTGTAGAGACACAGAATGATACGTACCAACGGAGCACGCATACGCGGGTACGTGTCGGGATGCACAAAAACACAGTTCAGCGGAAAAATTCTGCACAAAAATACGAAGAAAAGAAAAAAAATACAGAAGATCGGCGGTAATCCCTTCTTTATATCCCAGGGGGGGGGGGCGAAGGGGAGTGGTCGTACTGTCAGGATCTAAGTATCGTTCGGGGTATCCATTGGAACGCGTAAAGAGGTTTCCCTTTGATCTTTCGCCCCTTTCGCGAGTTTTTCCACCTTTCTTTTCATTTTCTTTTCTGTTCGAACCGTTTCTTCACATCCCATGTATACCCCCTTGTTTTTCTGATTTTCGTTCTTCCCACCACCCACCCCCGTCATTTCCAGCCTCTCGTAGCAGGCTTTTGGGCCTGCGCGTGTGACGTGTTTCGTTTCCTTGATCCTTTGATTTCCCTTCAATTTCCACGAGACCCGTCGGTACTCGTCTAGCTGACGAGAACCGCCTAACGTGTAGGGTACACCGAGGATAAGAATAAAAAGAAACAAAAAAATAATAAAGAAAGCAAACAATCGATAACTCTTAGTTCGTGCCACGTAGAGACGTATTAAACTGAAACAATGGTGAAAAGAAGAAAAAATATTAGTGTCTTTAACGCCCGTCGGTACGGTGCACCCGGCACGGTGGAACTTTTGATTTCGAATTCCAACGAAGAAGCTCTCGGACGCGGCTCTCGGCGAATCTTGATCGAAAGTTCCGCCGTTCTCGGTTGGGAGGAGGGAATGGTCGGAAACGATCGACGATTCTGCCCGATGGAAAAAGTCGAGATTGACGGTTGCGATCGGGCACGCGGGAAAAGTGGGGAATATGGATACACGAGAATGGTCGTCGATCGGGGTTCGGTAGCGATTTCGATGGACCCGCGGCGGCGGAACTTTTCCTTGATAAATCCCCTTGGATTCTGGTAAACCGATCTCGATAACGCGTGAACACCGATATTGCTCCCACGGGCGGAACAGGAATTCTCCGTGTGAAATTGGAAACACCACGAAACGATTGTACATAGAACCTTCGGTTTTTCTTTTTTTCGAAACGATCAAACGGGACACGGCCCGATTTTTTTGATTTTTCACTCGAAGTTCCGCCGGTACGGGGTACGGATCGTGGACGCTGTGTGGAGTATTCGGTGTGCGTGAATTAATGGTGGTAACGTAACGGAGAGGGGGGGGGGGCAGAAAAAAAGAAAAGAAGTAGAGAAATTGATTTGTTTTAGGTAAAATACACTATTCTCCGTTAAGTTTCAAACGAAAAGAAACCAAAAAAATCTCGATACGAAAGTTGTTGCTATTGTTCGCGCTATCGGAATGGAAAAGCAATTTACAGATAGATGAAGAATTCTATATATATATACATGTATAAATATTTTAATTCGCGGTGTTTTTATTTTGTGCGTAAAACAGAATTGCTCAAGTTCGCGACGCCCGGAATAATTCGTGTCGATCAGTTTCACCGGGGGTGTGCGAGATGAATTCCAAGTGAACGCGAATAATATTCGATATTGTTACCGCCATTAGCGTGTGTGTCGGTGAAAGCGCGGGATATTTAAAACGGAAACACCAGCTGCGGAAGACGCCGGGGTTTCGTTGGATTTCGATTTGTCGAGAAACAGCGCGCGGACTGCACGGGGAAAAGTTTAATCAGCCTAGTGATAACCGTACGCAAGAAAAAAAAAAAAATACCGTATGGAATATGTATTTATGATTATATTGTACCGCATGATAGTATCTAGCGCTAGTCCACGCAATCGTATAGTCGATAGGTTGTATCACGCAGTCTGGAGATCAGAGGAATCATGTTCTATATACATATACTATATATGGACCGTTTATTTTGAAAGTGGTGCAAGTCCATTTTCCAATTCCATTTCATTTTATTTTAGTTTACACTAAATTTAGCATAAATTACGTCATTGACCGTTTATTTTGAAAGTGGTGTAAGTCCTTTTTTAAAAAAAATGAGATACGACACGTAATTTATGCTTAATTTAGTGTAAACTAAAATAAAATGAAATGGAATTGGAAAATGGACTTGCACCACTTTCAAAATAAACGGTCCATATATATATATATATGTACGTAATAAGTGACACTTATTCCTCGAACATCGTTCGTTGAATCTGTGAATACTTTCTAATTCGATTTACGCGCGGTTCGAGATACCATTTAAGCAGCGTTCTCTCGAAACTTCTGATACTTTACACAATGTCTCTCGTAAGAATAACTTTTAGTGTCGTTTCTACAGCATTTATTATTCGCTTCGCCATCGATAGTCAGTGGTTCGGGACTTTCCATAAGCGTTGCGCTAAGAAAACGCGTTCTGACACGCCTGCTGTTGTTGTTGTTGTTGTTGTTATTGTTTTTATTTATTCATTGCACGTAAACCTACGAAAGAATCGTATAGAACGTGTTCGCCCGCTGATCTCCTGTCTTTGTGGCTTGTACTTAGAAGAAAAAAAGAAAAAAGAAACAAAACTGGTTGTCCCGAGAGCTTGTTCGTTTTTTCGAAAAGACAGCGTTCGCGACACGGTGGTCGTCGCCCCTTTGCATATCCGGATCCTGTTTGTTTGGGCTCGCGGCTTCCAAACCACGCCTGGACAAAAAAAGAAACACACACACATACACACAAACACAAAACAGCTTCGAAAAGGGGGCTGGCGTTCACGTATTTGATATCAAAAAGAAAAGAGAGAGAAAAAAAAACGAATAGTCGAGGAGAATCGTCCTCCTCCTTGATCGTTGCTCGGATTACGCTTATATACATATATATATATGTCTACATATATATATATGTACGTTCACTACCAAAAAAAAAAAAAAAAAAATCATGACTGCCAAATATGTTCACTACCAAAATACAAATCTGTTACCTGTATTACATATAACGTATAAATGTTTCTTCTCGAACGTTTTTTCATTCGGAATTCTAGTTATCTGTTTCGCACTCTCCACGAATTCTTTTACCTTCATATACATATATATGTATATTGTACGCCGCTGCCGAGAGGAAAGTGGAGAGGTCTATAGAAAAAAAAAAAAGAAATAGAATTCTCTACACGTCCGAGCGACAAGTGCACCGTCAGTCTTCCCGATTGGCGGTGTTACACGAGATATCATAGATCCGATCACGTGACCGTCCTGCTAAACATCCGAACGGGATTCACGGTCGGTATCGGAGACAGTGAGACGAGGAGAATTAAGTACAAAAAGATACCCAGAGTGACATCCACGATCGCGAGTGATTCGAAATAATAAAAAATAAAGAAGAATAAAGAAAAGGAAAACAATAACGAAGGAACAAAAAAAAAAAAAACGGGCGGCGACTTCGACTAGTGAGCGCTGGCCGGATGAAATCGAAAATAATTTCATTGCTATTTATTCTTAACCGTTGTAAACGAGCGAATCGTTGTATGATTTAACGATTTTTCATGGGTCCTCGCCCGGAACCGTGTTGAAATCAGACAGAGCCACGTAAAAGAACCCAAAACAAAGGAGAAACGAAGAAAATAAAGGTGAAAAAAACTTAACACAACTAGATTACTCGTCAATGATACTATTAACTTTTAAGAAAAACCAAAAAGAGGAAAACATTAAAAATTAACCGTTGTAAACGAGCGAATCGTTGTATGATTTAATGATTTTTCATGGGTCCTCGCCCCGGAGCCGTGTTGAAATCAGACAAAGGCACGTAAAAGAACCTAAAACAAAGAAGTAACGAAGAAAATAAAGGTGAACAAAAAAAAAACTTAACACACTAGATGAACTCGTCAATGATACTATTAACTTTTAAGAAAACCAAAAAAAAAAAAATTAAAAAACAAAAGCGTAGGTAGAGAAGCGAGGGTGGGAGGGGGGAGGGGGGGCAGGCATCAGGAGGACAGAAAGCAGAGGAAAAGAGTTCTGACGAGACTTGATGATGATGATGATGATGATGAGTCACACGTTGGCGGGTATAATGTTCTATTAGGGATTATTACACAGTGTATAGAGCCACCGATCGAGAGCGACATTATTATATGTATCATTGCGAATGAGCTGTTTCTAATAACGTGTATTGTTTGACACTGCGAGGGGGATAATGACGCTCCGCGCCGTGAACGAGGGAAACAGAGAAAGTCGAGAACGGGAAAGATCGTTTGGTATGTTCGAAGGGAAAATAACGTTTACTAGTCATCGACTCAACCGTTGCACGGAGTGTAACCATGCTTAAAGTTTTCTTTGTTCGCCGCGTGGAACCGTTCGGCTATTCGGGGCTCGAGCGGGCGTAATCCAGAGACTTTGGGCCGGAAAGCTGGTAAATATTAGGGTGCCTCGTTCCGAAAAAGCTGGGCCAGAGGTCATACTCGTCGAGGGTAGTCTCTGTTGTCCTCCACGCTCGTTCACCAGACGCTACCTTAAATTTGGATAAATCGTCGGTCGGGGTAACAATATCCCCGAAATCAGAGAACGTTCATTTTCGATTTTGCTCCGGAAATTGTTAAATTAAGTTGAATCTTGGCATGAAAATATCTGCAAACTCGAACAATGATCGTTTCTTCAGATCGAATGCTTGCGAAAATGAAAGATCAATCATTCCCCTATGATTTTGGGAAAAATGGTACCTCTGACTGGGGTCGAAGTTACTCGAACTAACGGTACTTGGGTGACGGGTGTTCCGTGTGTGATAAATCGTTGACTCGATTAGCGCTTTAAGTATGAACGCGGGAGACGTGTGTACGTGCGTCGATGAGAAATGTCCGTCGAGTTGCGAAGAGAATATCGGCTGGAGTGTGCTCTGTAATTGGTATGGTAGAAACGAAAAAAAAAAAACAAAAACACAGACGGGGGACAGATTGGAGTGCATTTAACACGCCGATGATATAACGAATGTAACGAACATATATATATAATATGTACTTATCGCGGTTAATTAACGATATGACACGAGTTATCGAGCCCAAAAAAGTATTCGCCAACCGAAAGGATAGAGTTTTCCGGTAATTGATTAGCGAGAACGTTGACAGAACAGAACTCGCGACGTACGAAATCGTAGAGGACGAGGAACCATCGGAAGAATGATTGTTCTAATTAAGATAGTTAATCTCAGCGAGTAACTTTTTAAGCAGGATTCACGTATATTGTAACGCGTATATGCATGCATAGACGTTAGGAGAATTATTCGTTGGATTTGTCGAACGGAACACGCGTGTGTACGAAAAATATTCCAGGGATTCCCCGTGTATTTCTGTACACGCGTGGCAGGATCGTTGATTTTTCAGTCGGTATAGTAGGCTATACCGTTGTAGGTTGGTATACCTGAGAAATCAGAAGTGAGAATTGATCGATATACACGTTGGTATATACAAACTCCTCTCGATTATTGTCCAGGCGTTATCCCCACCACTTGTCTTGACGAGGTTCGTGCTTTTGGTAAAAAACATATTTACGAGGGTCTGAAACATTTCTCCCTATAAGATTATTGTCCCGGCATGGACCCGAGTTCGGGACAATAATCGAGATGAGTCTGTACACAAATGTTCCGAGACCAGCCGATAAAAACGAACACGGTTTATCGTACAGATCGTACTTTTGTGATACCAAATTCCGTCGTGGACATCACAGACGTTATCGATCCCCCCGTCGGTTTACTCTTGCGTTCCTCCATCTTACATCTGTGCCCGAAGCAACGGTTCACACCGATCACATCGCTTGCTCGAATTATCAAATCTCCGGATATAAATCTGTTCCCGACGGGTGTTCGTAAACGGAGCCAACGAAACATCTGTGACGATTTTCGAGGCAAGCGGGGCATTGGAAAATACGTATACACGTGGAGGAATATCAAAATTTCGACTACAGCGACATCTGCCTTTTGTTCGTGCCCTCGGAAACGCACGTTCTATGAGGAGGAGGTTCATCCGAAAGGAGGCTAACCGAACGTGATAGTAAGAAACGTAATCCAAAGAGATTATTTGAAGAAAAAGAAAAATAATGATACAACAAACGCGCCATCCTGTAAAATTGGTGCTATTCTATATAACACGAAAAACCATTCATCGTCGGACGTTTATATCGCGAGAATTCTATCTTGCGGTGATCGATGGAATTCCCATCGGACATCACGAGGGCCCGAAATTAGGGGATTGTCGTCTTTCTTTGGGCCCTCGTGTTAATTACACACACACTTATTGTTACCGAGTAAAAAAAAAAAAAAAAAAACAAAGAGTTACCAATGTACTTAAATCTATTACGATGATGTTAAGTATTTAGATCTTGGGGAATGTGTTACCGTTAATGACGTGTACGCGGAACCACGTGGATTAGTATTGTACCGTATGTAGCAGGGGACAACACGATTGGGGCTCTCGTAATCCACGAAGCTAATTTACTGGTTCGCTTGGATTATGAAATTAGAGGCGTAGGATTGTTGGTTGACCCGTTTAGTTCAAACGAGGAATGACAGATAAGAACTCGAAAATTGTGAGAAGTTGATCGGGAAGGGAAGACAAATGTCGATGGTTTGTTTTGTTGTTGTTGTTTCACACGAGGTCTTGATAACGATTTACGGTCACACACACGCTTTTGTCACTCTCTAGACCGTCGAACGATCGAGCGTAATAACACGAAAAAGACATAATTGTTACGTTTCGTTCAGTGGAGAGGAGTTTTAATATCAACGAGCTTTCGGTTCGAATTTTGTTCTTTGCGACGTCGCCCCTGATTTCGAAGCTCGGACGTCGAATCCGGCGTCGAGGTCTTTAAACATGGACACCTGGTAATGACTCAAGAGAAAAACAAAAACAAATGGTATGGCTGTTGACATCATTATGCTTGAAATGTGTTATGAAAAATAAACAGAATGTACAAAAACTTGACCCTTGTGTGTGTCGTTTTTACCCGGTCGCGTGGCAAGAGGAAACGAAAAGCATCGCCGGGGTTTGCTGTTACGAGGCTGGAGGGAAACAGTATTTCAAATATGGCGAAATAAATAGATATTTCGTTTAGTGTTATTGGTTTGTCAATTTTTTGAACCAGTAGGTATTTAATATATCTTTTTTCATATTTAGTTGAAGAGGTTTGGAATATTTGTTGTACAGTGTAGAATATGAATCAGAAATTTGTTAGTATATGTGCCTAATACCCTGCAAATTTCAGATTGATACATTTGTTCGTGAGTTACAACCATAACTATGACCGAACTTATTATTTCTTGACACTCTGTATTCCACTTGTCTCAAGCTACACGGAGCTGATTCGCTTATCTGATCATTAACGAGGTATATTCTAATAATATGGTCATTTAGTGGGCCCTTTTTTACTTGTCTGACCATGTACAGGGCGTATTCTACTTGCCTGACCATGCACGCGGCACATTCTACTTGTCTGACCACGTACAGTGCGTATTCTACTTGTCTGACCATGCACATGGCGTATTCTACTTGTCTGACCACACACGCAGCTTATTCTATTTGCCTGGTTGCATACTGGGCACTTCTACTTGCTTCAAAACACACGACTATTTCACTTATCTACTTGCATATCTGTTAAATAACAAAATTTTGTTAATATAACATACTAGTATTAGTCGAGATAATAATAATAATAACATCAGACGTCGAGTTATGAAAGGTTTGTCCAGATTTCGATATTTTATAATAATTCATAACTATAAAACCTTTCTAAAGTTTTCGATTCTCATGTATTATGGTTAAAATAAAAACGAACCGAGACAACAGTAAAAATCAAGTTTGTATTAGTGAATATATTGACACAATACACGGACTTGTCAACAGCTATAGGATCGAGGCGAGAAATATAAAACACCGATTGCACTTCTTGAAATGTACAATATATTTCGACAGGTCCAATACAGCGAGGGATTACAACAATGCTCTGGGAATAATTTCGTAGATTGACGTCAATGTGGTTGAAGTGCACGCACTACTTGCCTATCCAAAGATCATATCTAAGTATAAGAATGATATTCCGATGTACCTATACATATGTTAGCGTTTCGGTCGTTAGAGGATAATTTCCTTTTGTGAGAAAATCGTCTGAAAGTAACGGTAAGGACGAACAAATGCGCGCACTTCGTCTTGGTGTAGTTTTACTGAACTAACGTTTGTCTCGCAGTTTAAAAATATTATGATACAAAAAAGTCGTCGGTGTACAGAAATATATGTATAATTTATGATTCTCCTTAACAGCGGCAGGAAACGTTTGAACTATCGTGGCCCGTGGTCATGAAACGACAATTGTGAGAAGTGCAATTATCGATTTCCAGCATTTGTCGTAAGATGATCCACGGTGGCAGGAACGAGTCAACGTGTACAAATCCCTTGATGCTTCTTGGATGATTCCTCGATACGGCAACGTTCGAATTTTTAGTCGTTTCTGAATAATTACTTTTCTGTTTTTGTTTTTTTTTTCTTACAAAATACACATGATCGATTTTTAAAAACAAGCTACCGGAGAAACTGCACGATTACAACACGCGTTTAAAAAACACTTTGAACAAAATGGAGGATCGTCTAATAATACTATCCGTCTCTGAAACATTCGGTGCTTAGAACCGTTGGTATGCTATGTGCCACAATGGATCGTGTCGTTAGTGGGGTTGATGTTCGTGTAAAAATTCGATAAATTGAAAAACGATATTGCTCTATTATGTTCTGTTGATATATAATCACACTTGGTGCATCGATTTTTACACAATTATCAAACCTGATAGCCATTCGTTGAGACACTTTACATAAATGAGATTAAACGCATTAAATAAAATTATTATTATTATTATTATATTAAGAGTGTACAATTCGTTTTTATCATTGATATTTGGCTTTTGTATAAAATACAGCGTAAAAAATAAGGAAAAGGGAAATGCATGTTGTACACTGAAACTCGTTAATAGACCCATCATCCAGGCTACCTACAGTCAAGTCGAAAAAAGAATTGACCAAGGTCTCCTATTAATCACTCTAAGGTGATTCTTGCTCTGTTAGGTTAGATGACGAGACCAAGTATACAGAAAGCGATGCTAAAATCTTTATATAACATAATTCCTAATCTTAAAGAACTTTGGGAGATACTTTCACCAATTAATGTTAAACCTTCTGAACTCTTGCTGAACCTCTATCGGAAGTCAACCTCGTGAATCGACTTTCTAGGTTAACTGCCTTAACCGTCTAACCTATCCCCCAACGATATCACAAGGATTCGTTCTTCCTAATATGTCGGATATTTTTAAAATGATTATTGCATGGATTACCAAAGTATAGGAACAATGTCACACCAAAGAGAGTGACATTTTTTTTAAATCAGAAACATGCAAGACATTCGAAATGTTCTGTTCCGAGATAGATCAACGATTGCTTTTTTTTTAGGTTAAGTCATCTTTCTCTAGAATCTCTATATTCTGCCCTCTTTTAGGAGAAATTCCGAGAAACCGAGTGTTTTCGAGGAAATTAAACCTATTCTTTTTAAGCTGCTTATCAATTGGTCGAACAACTCCGCGAGAATGAAGCAACGAATAATCTTAAAGCGATACGTTCCGACTCGGCGTTCCAGAGTGTACGAAAAAGTAATGACGCTTGGAAAATCGAAGATCTACACATATTAGTCCTCCCTTTATTTGTTTACTATATGCAAAACGCTACAGCTTACACATTGCATATACAAGTATGCGTTTAATAATAAAATCCAAGAAAAAAAAAAAGAGCTCTTATAATCCCACTGTCCAGTAACAACGTGTTTCGGTTAAATTAAAACGCAACCCTCTCTCGACGCCAACGACGCCGACTTATCATTTCGTTCTCGTGTCCATACTCTGTCGTACCCGATTCCCCCGATAAACGCCGTTACAACCAAAAAAATGGTCACGTAGGGTTTCGGTGAATACACGGTTCTCCCATCAAAATACGTTCCGACTGGATCGTATTGCAATACCGTCATCGCCACTCATCGCTGCTCAACACAAACAAACCAAATGAGAAGAAAAACAATGATCGTATACTTATTCGTAGTAGAGATCACGCAACAGAATTCATTCTTATAATAACAACGTATACGATGCGTTTGGGACCGGGTGGCTGACAACGCACGATTGTTATTTAGTCGATGGCCAGTAATTACAACGAGCCACTTTTTATAATAGATTGTTTTTTTTTTTCACATCATCAGAAAAATGTATCAAGTGCACGATTACAATTCGAACGAATGGATCACAACGATCAGAATAGCCACCCCGTTCCAGTTCGCAAACTGCTGTTCGTTACTTCGAACAACGTCCATCGAGTAATCGGTGGTGTCTACCGGGAATAGCCACTGATCTATCACACCGACCCTCCGACGAACAAAAGTCAATAAATGGTCCTTAAAAAACAAGCGAAATAATTCTCGTGAAAAGATCAAACGACGTAATCAGATACTCTTTCTCCTTTCTCTCTCTCTCTCTCTCTCTCGTAATAGGTTCCTATACAATAATCGTGGATTATGTACAGACATTCCTCGTTGATCAAGTGTCAGTGTCTCGCCTATGTCGAACAGGAAATGTGTCTCCCATATGACGGGGGTATAGAAGTAGACCTGACAGGAATATTATTTGTGTACCACTGAAATGAACCAACATTAGGGAAACAACACAGTGTGTTTGTGTGCCTCCTTTTCGGACCGTGTACGATCCGCTATTCGGTAGAAAAAGGTTAAAACCACAGCGTCCGTCCACGCTGGAGAGCCTCATATTGCTCCACGGATCCGATATTACTCGATATCCATATTCGCTTTCGAATACCTAAACAGGTTCCTCCGTTTAAACTCCAGATGTGTGTCACAATCTGAACTTGCTCTCAGATATACGTATATTTATATATATGTATATATATATATATATATATATATATATATACATATATACTTTGAAGTAGGGATCTACGCTTGGTTTAGACAGTCGTGGAACTTGAAGTAGTGGATCTTCATGGCTCTGTTGTTCGGGTATTTGATCTTGCAATGGGGACAGGTCGCGTCCACCGCTCCCTGTACCACGTACAGTGCCAGATCTGTCTCACGATGGAAGTTCTTGCTGTGCTCAGCGTCGTAGACGGTGTTGTGTGTGGACAGCATATGATCGGTCATCGCCTGTCGATTGAACACGTGACGGCCGCACAGATTGCAGCTGAATATCATACTTGTGTGCGTGAGCTCGTGGGCCTTTAACGCCGCATGGGACGGGAACATCAGCTTGCATCCGTCGACGGGACACGCGTACTTGGGCGGTGAGTTTTTGTGTTTAATGGTGAAATGCTGTCGTAGATGCGATATGGCGGAGAACGATTTGAAGCAAACGTTGCAGCACACCTTGCCGTCGTTTCCAACCAATGGGACGCATTCTGTGGTCGAGGTAGTCGCTGCTTTCGCGGCGTTCTTCATCATCCGTGACTTACTGTGCATCAGCTGTTTGTGTTTGTACAACACGCTCATGTTCGGGAAGAACTTTCGGCACACGTGACACATGACCGGTTTCTTTCCAGTGGTGGTCGTGTTCACGGCGATCGTCGGTTTCTGCGGTACATCCTCTTTCTCAAGTTTCAGCTTCTTCGTGGCTGATTCCTCCTGCGATGTTCTTCGTGTGCTGGATGGATAGATCAGGTGCTGTCGTTGATTGAACATCTCGCTGTGCAGATTCATTTGATGACGTTGCAACGATTGATTGCTGCAGAACACTTTGTGGCAAACGTTGCATATGTGCTGGGCCACCGTTGGTTTCTTCATGATCGATTGGAACTTGGCGGCGGCTACGTTGGTGGCTTTGTGCAGCTTCTTGTGTCGCCACAGCACCTTCTTCGAGCTGTAGAGCTTCCCGCATACGTCGCAAGGGAAGTTCCCTTGGTGTCGGGGTTTACGGACGCGAGTGAGGATCGGACAGGACTTGTGCCATTGCATGTGCATGTCCAACGTTGCCTTGTCGGGGAACACAGTGGTACAGATTTCGCACTGGAACTCCTCGCCGATCAGGTTCTTCTCGGACTTGTGGGCACAGTGCACGTCCCACAAGTGTTTCCTTAGCTCGGTGACGTCGTTGAATTTATCGTTGCATACCTGACATTGGAATTTACCTTGCGGCTTTGTCGGGGGCGGATTAGGGAATGATTTTCTTGCTCTGGCAGGTTTATCGGGACTGGTGTTCATGTCTTTCTCTTGTTTAGGCACGATCGAGTCTTTGATCGGTTTCTGGTCCTCGGTCGGTCTCAGTCGATAGCTCGATCTGTTGTGCCATCCACGGTGTATCTTGAGGGACGCCTCTTCTATGAACATTTTGCCGCATATGTCGCACTCGTAACCGCCGGCCTTTTTGTTCACGTGAGCAGTTTGGAAATGAAGATTCAGGTTCGCTTGGAAGACGAATGTTTTCGGACACTGAGGACACTGGCGCACGGGCTTGCTGGGCTTGTTGTGCTCGGTCATTATATGCCTATCGCGGATCTCCTTGCTCTTGAACGACCGGGAACAGTGGGCGCAACTGACATGGATTCTGGTCGGCTTGTGAACATTACGCGTGTGCCTTCTGAGATTCGCGTAGTTCGAGAACAGTTTGCCGCATTGTATGCATTCGTTTTTGTTTGTGCCCGGGTCCGAGGTGGCGCTGATATTCATCGGTTTAGAATCGTGAGAACTATCGTCCATAGTTCCATATTCGACGCACGAGCTGTTCGCGTTTCTTTCGTTGGGATCCTCTATACCATGATCCTTCATATGGATCTCTAATGCACCGGCGCTGCTAAACATGCTGCGACAAATCACGCAGGAGTAGATCTTCACCTTCAGATGGAGGTTCCTGTGCTCAGTTAGCTCTGCTCTGGTGGCAAATTCCAAGTTGCACAGAGCACAACTGTACTGGTTACTGTCCGATAGCCTACCGGCGTTCACCTCCGCCTCGAACGTGTCCCAGTCTTTAATGGGCGTCGAGATGTTTTGCGCACCTTTGGCAGGCTCCTGCTTCTCTAACACTGGCTTCCTGTTCACCGCCACACGATGCGTCTCGTGATGCGCCAGATAGTCGCTGGGAGAACGAAATTTAGCGTTGCAATCGGAACACGTGAAATCTTTCTTCTTATGTTCCAAAGTGACATGGGTGTGGAACTTTTTGAACACCAGGTACGTCATCCCGCAGTGCACGCATTTGTAGGATGTTCGAACCTCGGGCAGCAGACGCTGGCACAAGTCTCTGTGCTTGAGCATATTGGGTCTGTACCTGTAGATCATTCCGCACAAGTCGCAAACGTGATTGTGTGCCGGATCACCGTTCTTGTAAGGTCGGGGAATGTTCAATTCTCTTGCGCCTGATTTTCTCATCGATTCTTGTTTAAAAGCTGGCAGAGGCGAAATCGGTTTTAATTTCGGCGGGGATCGTGCTGGCGAGACTAGCTGTTGGTACTGTTTGTCCGAGTGCTTTGAAAGATGGCTAAGCAATTCTTTTCTATTCTGAAGGGAACGCAGACACATGTTACACGTGAAGTATTTTTCTTCGCCTTGGTTCGGGATCACAAGTGCGATCTTCATCGCGCACTCGAACGACGCACCACAGTGCAATTTATACATCGATCGGTCCGGGAACTCCGTCAAGCACGCGATACACGTGTATGGTCTCAGATCAGGCATATGCTGGCGAATGTGCGACAGTGTACTCCTACGGTCGCTGAACGATTGCTGGCAGGAATAACACGAAAACGTTTTCAATTGACTGATAATGTTTTGCTGCACTTGGGTCAACGGTGCATCTTTTTCCATACTCATCAACTCATCCTCCAGATCTTCGACCAACTCTTCTTCATCTTGCAACGCGAGCGTATCATTGCCACCATTTGGCTTCTCCGTGTGGAATCTTTCCATGTGTTTTGTGTACGAATATTTAGAATGTAAATGGATCTGACAGTGTACACATTTTTGCTTAAAAACACGCGTTCCCCTATAATGAGTATGAGGGCCTCTTCTGACTTTCTTTTTACTTGCTGATGTGGACGCACTGGGTTTTTGGGTTGAGTCAGCTTCCATTATTCTATCTTCTTTGTTGGAGAGGGGATTTGGTACAAGTTCGCTACCAGTGACAGATTCTATTTCTATGGTACAATCTGTATCATAGTCTTCTTGCGGCTCCAACTTTATACATACATCTGTATCTTTCGTCTGTGCTGGTTGAGCTTTCGGCACATCTGCCTCATCATCGGTTATTTCTTGAATGTGAATTGTGTTCACAGAGTTATTTATACTTTCTTGAAAATTAGTCGATTCCTAGAAGTAGAACATAGTACATTTGCCATATATCCTAATTTTTTCATGCTCTATTACCAAAATCAAAGTACTCACTACATCTGAATCACTGGTGGATTCTGAAATGACTTCGATATTGTCCTCGTAAAAATCCAAATCCACAGGTTCATCTTTGATAGTAACAACCTGCAAAAAAAAGGCAAGCGACACATTGATCACAACTATTCACAATACCCGTAGCAAACATTAGAATAAAAGAGGAATATTTACCATTGGGTTGGGTTGTAAATGTTTTTCTAGCCATTGATGTAATTTATCTTGCGATCGAAGACAAAGTTCCTTATAAATATGCCACTGATTTACACTTTTAACGCATTGTGCACATATCTGTGTTGTCAACTTGTCCGTGGCTGAAATCTAAAAAATCCATACAATGGATGAAAGGATGCATACTTCAGAGTCTTAATGTAACAAATAAGGGTGTTATTAAAGCAGGAACTCTCAAGAATATGCTTAAATAATCTTATTTTGATCGATATCTGTTGAACCAGCAAAGGCCAACCGAGGTATAGAAACACGGGGAGCATGTAGTCACCAAGTTCCAAGTTCCCTGACATAGGCAAGTCTAGACCTAACCTCAAAGGATATACACTGTGTATATGTACGAGGCGTAACGAGTTCAGCGGTACAAGTAAAAGGAAGAGGCGTTCAGGATCTGAGGATTTGTAATGCACGATATTTGACACGCACCTGAATCGACAGGCACGCTTGTATCTTAGTGGCCAACGACACCGGAGAATCTTGGGCTCCGAAAACCGACGTCTTCGGCTCGTCGTTGGATAAGCAGAGCCTGCACACATTTTCCATGTTTTGCAACTCCACCACGTCGTCCATCGTGGACGTCCACTGGCGTTCGCCTTCCTCCCAAGATGCCACGGTAGTCCGCCTGCCAACGAAACGCGCTTTTCACGAGCAGGTTAGGGACGCAGCGTTTTGTTTGTACGTCGACATTTGAAACTGAAACCGAGCGGTCCGTTTCGGCACGTTCCGCGCGTCCATGAACTGAAAGTTAGAAGAGGCGCGTGTCGGATCAGTGTCGCGCAGATTTTAGTTCGGTTCAGTCGTAGTTTTTATTTAAATAAGAAAGCTTGATTTGAATAATTTGTATCGCCTTGACACGTATCGCATTCTTTCCCCGATATTCAATTATTATGGTCGTTATACGCGAGTGCCACTTGCGAAGAATTTGCATCCAGTGATAAGGATAATGCACGTCTTAAAAATGGAGGGAAGTATGCATGGAAAATGATCTGCTTAGGAAAGTTCTATTTGCGACACGACTCGAACAGGAGCAGAGGAATAGACAGCAAGGTGTGGCGGTAAGTAAAACAATAATATTTATGGTTGGTCGAGTGATCTTTTATTATCTATATACTCTCCAATATACACTTGACATGCTATTGTTTCTCGTCTGTACATGGTGGTTAAACAGACTTGTATATACACAGCAGGTGAACGTACATGATACATCTTGTTCGAGCGTTGCTCTCGGTTGACATAACGGACAAGATGTGTTAAACGAAATCGAATGTTCCGCCATTTTTCGAAATTTCGACACATTCATAGCAAATTATGATTCTGGCGTTATAAAACCGATACAAAGTATAAAATCGAAGAGGTTAGAATGCAAGTTAGGTTGGTCGAACAATATAGCGTTGTTTAGAATCTTCTAATAGAAAAGGTTATAAGTGATTCCATGGCGGATATAACTAATCGCAAAAATTCGAGATGTAATTGTACAAGTTCGCAGATTTTCAATCTAAACAATTGTCACGAGTACGTTGCGTAGACACATTTCTACATATTAATTATTCACTTAATTTTCTCCGTGACAATTAATGACACCTAAGCTAAGAGAAAGAAAGCTTTTCAATCGAATATCATTTGAGCATTCGTTCCCAACGTGTTGTAAACATGGCGGCTACTAAATTATTCGCGCAAAAGCTCTTCTACTCGACGGTTACGGCTAAAACCATCGATCTACTTGGTACACACGGCGAGCTTTTGCGTGTGTTTTCGTTAAATGCCCGCAAGGATTGTGTATACAGTGCAAATTAGAACCATCGAGACGTCTCCCTAAATCTATTCTGCAATTTCTCTTGCAAAGCTATTCACATTAATGTACAGTTACAGGTATTATAATCGTCGGTATACATATATTTATTTGCATATTTCTATACACATAACGTCAACAACAATGTTCCGGCTGTTCCCGTTCAAAAATATCCTCCCCATTTCCCTGTCGTTTGTGCAAACTAATCGAATGTAATTCCGAATAGCACGCTTCCGGTGGAACAAACAGCGCCGCGCGAATCGAAAAGTTTTTTCCGTTTTTCTTTTTCTCAATCGAAATCTTTTAAATCAGTCCCCGTTTTTCCCGGCGCGTGTCTCGTCGAAAACCCGTGGCGTGATCTTCGACTCTTTCGAATTGTGCTAATGTGTGTGCTTTCGTCGGCTTTTTCCGCGGCTAGAAAATACGTTCCTGATTTCCGCCGTCGTGCTCGGTCCGTTGTTTTACGAACACTCGAACGGCCACGACATACCCGCGCCATTCTCGCGGCCAACGAGTTCCGGTCCGCGTTCCACCGTTCGCTCGATCTATCGTCGGGAAACGTGCGCGTTGGGCTATTGCGCAATTCAGGTCGTCAGGCAATTGGTGCTGAAGCAAGAACTCCGTTGCGACTGTTGACGAACGTAATCCTGGACGTTGAATCTCGTGTCGTCCGGGTCGTTGCTCTTCTTCGCTTTCAAATCTCTGAAAACAAATTAAATGCTTTTTAAGATTCGGCTCGTTCTTTACGCGTATAAACATATATTCGAGTAGGAACTGTTTCCGTTGATAAGATAGCAAGATAGCTTACGATAAAGTGTCTTACAAACTGAAGGATACTTCAGCCTTATATGTATCCTCACGAGGAAACTCAGCTTACGCTAGGGGAAAACGTGGAGTAGAAGAAGTGCCTCTTATCATTTGGTAAATTTATTTCAAGTACTGAAATAAAAGTGAAATCGAATGTTAATTTGGGATAAATTTCGTAGTAATTCCCGATACCAAATGGTACGAGGCTACAAAATTTTTTCCCCTAGCGGGAGCCGAGTTTATACGTCAGGTACAAAGACAGGTCAGGAACGTCCTTGAATACGGATCATTGTTGATTAGTTACTAGAGGATAGGTTCCTTTTTTCAATATATGTCAATGACAATTGTCCGGACGTTTCTGAGATATACCTGGCTACAGCGAGGAAGGCCAATTCGACGTTCAGGCCGGTTTTAGCAGAGGTCTCCATAAAGGGAACTTTGTACTCTTGCGCCAGTCGTTCGCCGTCTTCCCTCTTCACGACTCGTTCGGTTCCGCAGTCCGACTTGTTTCCTGAAAACAATCGTTTCGTATTCGTCACACTCCGATCGGATTAGGTAGACTCCACCGTTGCGGATATTTGAATCGAGGACAAATGGTACTGCTATTAAATAGAAATAGAAATAAAATTTAATGTAAAAATTCCTCAATCAAAATGTACAATGTAAGTCTCTAAACATTTTTTCTTTGCGAACGAACGCAAGTACATTATTCTAAGCTATTTAGCTCGAATCAATTAAAATCGACTGGCAACCGACTGCGTCCCTACCACCCCAACTCCCATGATCTTCGTGATCCCGCGTTAACATCTCTCCGTTAATTAATCATAATCCTATCAGTCGAGCGTTTCTTCATTCCCGAAACAACCGACAGATACATCACTGTCTCTAGTCCGGGCTTCTCTACTTTCTACAAAGACAAAACAAATAATCCGAACTGCTAGAACCAGTTACTGTGTATATCATTGCAACTTTCTCGGGAGCTGGACTCAGAGGAAAGCTAACTTCTACGTCCTTTTTCCATTAACCCTTTAACGCCCAAACCCATCAATCGTTAATTGTAAAATTATAAGACTGGTATATATGTTGTATCTTGTTATTTTGAAATCGAAAATATCGATTTTGAACAGACCTACTTTTTTCATTTTTTTTTTTAAATTTATTTTTGGAGCGAATAGGTGAATTTCTCAACTGAAAATACAAACTGTCAATCGATGAAGAAATCACGAATCCTTTTACCTGACAAATGTTAGATATTAACTGTCAACAGAATTTGTTGCAGTTTTAAAACGAGCGTTGCCCTGTTGCAACACTGGGAGTTAAAAACACGTATTGATTCATTCCGTTGCAAATCAATCCCGAACTCACCCAGCAACATGATGACGACGTCCTCGTTCGCGTGCTCCCGAATTTCGCTCAGCCAGGCCCTGATGTTGTCGTAGCTCGTCTTGTTCGTCACGTCGTACAGCAATAAAAGAGCTGAAACCGATAACGATCGTTACGCCCGTGATCTCGACAATTGCTAGACGGAAAATAAAAGCTTTTTCTGGTGATATCGGTGTTATTACGTGTCCCATCCGTTCCGCCTCTTTTGCCCAGGCTAGATAAATTATTCAGTAGTTTCGTCACGCGACAATTTTTTATCAGAACGTACGTTTGTCGACGACGAATTGGAAGAACGTAACTTCAAAGAAATTAAATTAGGGTAAACGTACCAACGAATGACCACTAAAAGTCGAATTTTAACCGACACTAATATTCATAAATATTTTGCACATGAAAAATTAGATTTTCTAATGTCCATACGTTTTTGTACCGTATAGATTTCAATTTGAAAAATTTTAAGAATATTATTAATCGAATTGAAACGAAAATATACTAGCTGTCACCTGTGATTGAGCAATATTAAGTAACTGCACATTTCTAACTAATGTTGCAAGAATTGTTTGAATTGAACAAAAATCAATATTTAATGATTTGCTTATTTTGATAACTAAATTTATTTATTTCTATATACAATGTTCATTTACTGGTGCATCCACCCTATAGTGTTTTCCTGGCGTTTTTCAAAATGGCCAGTACAATTTTCCAGCTTGTTGTTTCTCTTTTCCAAGTTCTTGGGCATCGTTTTGTTTTTCCAAGTTGTCGGACACGTCGCGGTAAGGGTTAGGGCGACCCAGATCCTCAGGACCGATCATTTAGAATTTCTGTCCACTCGAGGGAGCTTGTTTTCTTGCCATCGTTCCGCCATTTAAAGCCCAAGTGAAAGACACTATTCGTTTGCCGATGGTAATGGAAAAGAAGATAGCATTGTCGAAGTGTCGCCGGCACGTAATTGTTACCAACCCATTGAAATGTCCAACTATTGTTGCGGCAACGTCTCCAAAGAGTGTTCCTGCGGCGCAAACAATGGGAGCACTTCACCCACGGCGGATGCGGTGCTCCCTTCTGCATGTCTCCCGCCGCGAATCCAATTAAGTAGCTTTCCAAAATTAACATTTTGGTTGAATCCAGGACCGTCTCGCGACCTACATTCCATTGGAGAAAAAGCCACGGAACGCTTTAAATTATAAAAATGTCCGCGGAAAATATGTGACTTCGACGGGTCCGTCTAGGGAATTTTTAACGATACTCTTTAATCGAAACCGATTTAACTGGTTAGATAGATAGATTATAAATGAAAATTGAAATGAACTAACAGCGAATCTTTATTTTTCTGGTTTGTTAATCCCTTGCCTTATAACATGGAGTCAGACTCGTGGTGACGATATCAAAATGGATTCAACAAACGAAAATATTATTTGTTTTTTTTTTTAGTCAAAGTGAGATACTAGTTTGTTGGTATTAATATTTAATTTTTAGAGTTAATGTACAATTGCGATAAGTACACGAATTCCTTTCGTTTGTGGGGAATTATTGATGATAAAGTAATTCTGGAGACTGCAGATATTAAGAAAATCATAGGGTAAGGGGTTAAACAGCGACGACGAGTGCAAAACTGTTTACTGTTTTCTATAATCTTTTTATTTCCTACTTGCATAATACGCGTGTTTGGATTCAAACAAATCGCCATCGTGTACGGAGTAATGGTGGATTTTAAACGGCGGTTCACGAAGATACCGTTTCTGCACACTTGGCATCTAGAGCACGATATTGCATCGGATAACGGTATTTACATAATGCTAGGCTAGCTTATGCAAAGTTCACGACTTTTTGTTCCCCGATTTACCAGACGAGTGATAGAAAAAAAAAGAGGAAAACGTTCATCAGCATTTCGATCATCCGGCGAACATACTTTTTTTTTGTTCCATTATCTGTCACGATCGTTTTCGCGTTCCTTAAGTGGACGTTAATCGAGGCTGGTGTAGGTATCATCGACCGTGAGTCACAAGTTCGATCGATAAAATAATTTAAACGACTAATCATTTTAACCTATTCAGGGACGAATTTATTAAGACCAGAAAGAATATTTTCTTTATTCCTCGGTTGTATTCAAGTAAAATATATTTATAAATAATATCGAAAATCAATTGGTAAAATATCCATTTTTCTTGGAAAATTTCCTAGCGAATATTTAATTACAGCTTTGGGATGATTCTTGAATGAAAGAAAAACTAAACGTACACGTAAAATTTTGTTGAGATAATTTTCAAATAATTTCGTAATCATTTAAAATTAAAAAATTCAATTACCGTGGGCGTCTCTGTAGTACGCGTGCGTCACACTTCGAAATCTTTCCTGGCCGGCGGTGTCCCAAATTTGAAGTTTGACGGATGTGTCGTCGACGACGACCACCTTATTCTGAAAGAACAGAAGAAGAAATAAAATATTCATAAATATCACTTGTTCGTTTCGTTTCCCATGGATAACAATGCATTTTAATAATAAATTTACAATTATTTTATTCGTAACTTTATTATGAAAAAATCGATCTTGACGATATCAACGCGTGCGAGCAATGCATTTAGTTCACGAGGGATAGAAAAATATAGTGACATCGATGCCCCTTTAGGGGATTAGCGTCTCTCACCCTAAAATCAATGCCGACGGTGGTTATGTAGTTCCCGGACAGGAAACGGCCATCCCTGAATCGCGTTAGAAGACAGGTTTTCCCGACACCACTGTCGCCCAATAGCATCACCTATATTCCGTGGAAGCTCATCGTAAAAATACAGACTAGTCGTGAAAACTGCGGGGAGTGTTTTCGGGTTCTAGAGAGATATCAAGAATATTCAGATCGGGGGTGGGACGTTTGTGCAATCTTCTGATACTATGTGTCGTTACGATTCCTTTGATTAAGGGATCACATACCTTTAAACTATTAAATAGGAGGAAAAATTAAAGAATTTGTTTGTATATGCAGAATTGTTATTTATTAAAAATTTCACATGTATATCCCAGATAGCACATGACGCCTGGAAGACGTCTATTTTAGGCCTGAGACGTCTTTATGATATCTGGGATCTTATTATGTTATTTCCTTAGTAATTTCTGAAAAAAATGCTAAAAACTCTGAAAAAAATCTAAATCATGCACGACTCAAAAATTCGGCTTCGACGAGATATAAGAATAGACCTAACATCTTATGGGACTTGGTGTCCCACGAAAATCACGCTGGTTAAGCACCTCCGCATAAAACTTTCCGATATAAGAAATTACATCGTGATAACGCACAGCACACACACCCGTGACTGCATATAGCGATACATACATACACTATTGCCACGGTTTCGCTAGCAGGGAATGGAATTCTGAAATCGTACGGGTGTTTCTGGCGTCCCCGAAGCATGGGACAGAAAATTACATTGTTAGGTCTATCCTTATATCTCGTCTGTGATCGTAGCCAGGCAACGATCACGGATAAGGTGTATCAGGAGAAAGAGAGAGACGGCAGGACCTTGAAAAGGAGCTCGCCGTGCTCGGGTGGGGCCTGTTGGCCCGTGGAGTCCACGCTGTCCCGCGAGGACAGTCGTCTGGCAGGGCCCATCGACTCCTGGGACCTGTTGAAAGCCGTGCTGCTGCCCGGTTGCGGACTGGTGGGGACGGGCTGGGCCGTGCCCCTACCCCCACCACTGGTCCCAGTACCGCTCGACCAATCACTGCTCGACGGCCTGCTGCCGCGTGACCCGTGCCTGCTACGCTTCGTCACGGTACGCAGTTTCTCCTCCGTGGCGCTCATGAGCCCCTGTTACCGGGAGCACCAATTTGCTCTTCTTCTTCTCGGCCACTCCTCGTCGCGCCTGTCGTCGTTGTGGTCGTCCTCGTCGTTGTCGTTTCGATCCTTCTGCTTCTCCAGGGGCCAGGGACTCTCGCCTCCTGTCTTCCTTCCGAGGTCAATCAACTTTGGACCAAACGACAGAGAGAGGGAGGCAACGGCCCAAGTCCTCTTTCACTTTGCGCCTCTTCTCGCCTCTCCTTCGCCCGGTTCGTCGGTCAGCTCGAGCCGATCCAACGTATGTACAACAGAGTGAAAGTCTCCGAGTGTATTCGCGCGAGGCCGCGATCACTGTTGCGGTCGGCTCGTTTGCTTCGAGATCGCTCGCAGCTCTCCTATCGGGGACACCCTCGGGGATCTTGCCTAGGCAGATTCGAGTGATATTTTTTTATCTGTACGGTCAGGGGAGAGACGGATTGAGAATGAAATATGATTAACATTCGAGGAATCGAAGGGGTTATGGTTTGAGATTGATTGTGTAGGAACAGTCTCATGGGAATTATTGCTTTATAGAACATTTCGATACACTGAGATGAGAAGACTCGCGGCGGAATGATACTCGATGAGGATCGTAGGTCTACTAGCGGATTGTTCGGTGATATATATCGTAGATCAGGTGAAACTACCCCAACGGTGTACGATAAAATGAAGTGTCTGTACATAAAAGAGCATCTTCGACGGCAGCATTCGAAGCTCAACGGTAAAACCGAGGATCTATATTTTATATGCATCACGAAATGGCGGAACTCTACCGTAAGCATTAAAATGGAGATCTTATAGGGTGAGTTCAGGAGTAACGTCACTTTGGCAATCTTTCGTTTGTTTTTTTTTTTTTAATTGTTTATTGATTTTCGAGTGAGAAAAGTTTAGAATTGTTTGTAGTTTTTCATAGCGTGTTTTATTGAATGAAACATAAATCGTTCGAATTAGTACAAAATCAAAAATGTTATTGGCTTTCGACCAAAATAGATGGCGTCTCGGCTGAATTTATTATTAAAAAGCTTCTGCCACGTTCGATGCGCAACGAGACTAGAGTTTCAACGGGAACTTTCTAACAGGATTACTGTAATAAACGTATACTGGATCTATTTTTCCCCGTTTAGCGCTCGAGGATCATTAATCTAACCGGCTAGGTAATTAATATACTCGGGAAAACGTCCAGTCCCATCGCTGGACGCGATAAACGTACTAATATAAGGTGGCATTTCGTGATCGACTTCGAAGCTGTCATAATCGTTCGTGTTGTCACGTGGTGGATTGTGTAACAGACCAGCACCTATTTTGATCCGACGGGTTATACGTCATCTACGGTTGCATAAACGGCGAAGCGTCTGATAATTAAGCCCGCGAAGTACGCGCGTGCTCACCATTGATTCCTGGTCAATATTACGTTCGATGGGATCGTTCGGCGAGTTCCGATCAAATTCCGTGCGTTCGACGATTCACCGTTGTTTGTTCGAACAATTGTTTGTCGATGGACGATATTCGGTAATTAGATTACTCTGTAGACGATGTTACCGTTGTATAACACGGTATTCATATGATACGGTTAGGGAATTGGGGAAACCTTCGAATAACACGGTATTTCTGTAACACAGGATTCTTATGAAACGGTTAGGGAATTAGGGAAACCCTCGAATAATACGATATTCCTATAACACGGTTAAAGAATTGGGGAAATCCTCGGGTAACACGGTATTCCTATACTCGGTACAGTAATGTCTCGATGAGTGCAACAAACATTCATTGCAAGGCGAAAAGATCATCAGCCCGTCATAAATTTCTTTTTTACCCGAAGCCGAGCCTCTGCTTAACTTCTGTTTCCTCTGTTTTGATTTCAAAAGGGGATCCTCCCAATGGTGGGAATAAATATGTAGAACGATGATTAAAACTGTTACAACAATGCAATATGAAAACGAAGAAATCGGTTAATTCAAGGATTTCAATGTTTCCGAAAGCTTTTCATAATTACGGTGGTTCTGGTGTTAATCTGGTTATCGTATACACGGCAATCAAAACCGTTCAATAGAAAATCATCGTCGACCGTGTAATCCACGGGTCGAAAAACGATCCGAAAACAAAAAAAAAAAATAAAAAATCGCCGTCAATATCTTCAGAATTGGCTAATTCCGCGGGGCCAGATTCGATTGCTGTTCGTGACTCGATGAACACGGGAAGCAATCTGTGTACCCGGTGCGAACGAGTATTTAACAGCCCGGTCCAATAAACGTCGTCCTCCGAGAATAGCGCAGATAAAACCGAACCAGTCCAGCAATAATTTGGAACCGAACGGAACCGTGGATTTGATGGAACTCTACACCAAACTGTTTGTTCGATGAGTGACGCAAATACGAAAACGCGAGTTTCACCTCGTTCCGTGGATATTTCGGTTGAATAAAATCTGGTTGAAGTGTATTTTAGCTGCGACGTAGCTACCATTTTGGAAACTGGATGCTTCCAAAGGTGGACTCAGTTAAGTGATTTTCATAAAAGATTTTATCCACGGTTCCCCATTTTGGGAGGAAACGGGGAGTGGGCAATTGGCCCCAGAAACGAACGGAATAAGTACCAGAACGGATAGACATAAGTACAGCTAAGTTGGGATAACTTTGACTCAATCAGGAGCAACTTTGTCCCAAAGGCAGAAAATGATCATTAATTTTACAGCTTGTTTGCAGGTATTTCTACGTGAAATACCTATTCCCTTGGAAGATTAATTTTATTCAAGAATTCGCAGAGCTGCAAAATCGGAAATGATCATTTTCTGACTTTCGGAATGAACGTTACCCGAGATTACCGGTACCAAGGCAATTAGAGGTTTGCTATTGTGGGAGGTTCTGTTGATACATTGACATAATAACAGTGAAACTTCAGGAAGGTTTATAAAAATAGACGGTAATGCACGATTCTCCGATTGTTCTAAAGAATTCATGATCCCAATTCAAGCTGTCGCCAAAGAAACCAGTGATGTATCGTTCATTATCTCCTAGTAAGAGCGTTACCGATGAAACAGGAATTTAGGGCCATAGACGAATGGTTTCGGAGGACACAGATAAAACTGGGTAATAGAACAAAGATTGGTTACCAATAATTGAAAAGATTAAAATCGTATTTTCAATGGTTCGGAGGGATTAGAAGAAAAAAAAGTCTTAGAGCTAAATCGAGGGGAGTCGAATTAGCTTGTTTGGGTCTTGGGATGATTCCCGCGCGAATTTCGCCGGTACAAAACTGTATCCTGATGTAGACACGAGGCCAGTCGGGCCAGCCTACCCGGTTTGGGCCCACCCACGCCGTACCTGCCGCCAAAAAAGCCCTCGGGGTTCAGACGGAACAGGCCCTGTTGCCGGCGCTGGTCGACCCGACTGGTGGCGCCCTTCACCGAGCTCCACCTGAGACAGGCCAGAAGATGCGATGCTACGGAGCGCTGAACAGTGTTGCGATTGCAAGTATTAGCTGGATAGAACCATTTTTTTTTTTGTTATATTTATTAACCGTTTTACTACGAAAGGAGTATATATACGCCCTCACATGTCTATCAGTATTTACGAAAGGCGTATACAGGGTGAACTACGAATCGTGATCAGTA